ACACTCTCAGTCACACACAACCACACCGGGCACACAACACTCCAAGAGACAAACGCACACAGTCTCCTTGTATGTGGCAACATGTCCACATTCAAAGCACAAAAATGCATTTTCTTTGTCACTCACACACAAGCACACATATACGACTACATCCAGACAAGGGACACAGCCTCTCTGACCTGGATACATAGACCCTTTAGTTATTCTCCTTTGGAGTAAGAGGATTGGAGGTGGGCATTGTCAGGGTGGAGGACATGGGGAAGGAGTCACCTTGAATGTATGTCTCAGTGTGCAAGGTACTGTTTGACTATAGAAGGTGAGCATCTGTGTACCCGCATGAGTGTGCTCTGAATGTATATTTCAAAGCTGGCTTCACAGGAGGCTAAAAATGTGCAAATTTAAAGCAGTAGCATGAGAGCAGATTCATAGCCTCACTTGTGTGTTTGCATATGAGTTACTGGTGCAGGCAGATGTGCATGGAGCTAGAGTTCACACCCAGTTACACACTAACGAAGAGCCCTGGTGAGCTGCTCCAGCTTGGACACGTGTCCCCAGGAGAGCGGTGAAACTGGAATCCAGAGGTGCCTGGCCATGCTGAGTTGGCCCAGGACAGATAGCCCTCACCTCACAATGAAATGAAACCTGACCCATTTGTTTTAACTGAAAATGTCAAAGGAACACAGTCCATGGAGGACCAGGAGGTGCAAGGGTAGGGGGGGCAGTAGGAGGTGTTCAAACTGGCCCCTCACCCACCCCCACCGCCCTCATCCTCCTCAACCCCGCTGATGCCTTCAACTGTCTGAGGACCTCCTCACTGACCTCCCCACTGGTAGCCCCTGACCCTCTATCTCAGGGGTCCCTCACTGAGCCCTGGTTCCCATTGGAGGTGAGGAGGCAAGAGTGGCCCTCAGTGACAAGGCACCTTCCTGGCCCTACCTTGGACTGTTCTCCACAGCAAGTGCTCTGTGGTCACATCACCAATGGGGAGGCACTGACTTTGGGAAACCAAAGGACAAGATTATACACACCCTGGATCCTCCCACATGACCAGGTATGACATCGATTCAATGTCACACAGGGAGGTCAACTGAGTCACTGCACTCTTTAGGACAGTCTGGCACTCAGGTGACCCATAGAGTGGAGGCCCAGAGATCTGCTTCCCATTATACAGATAGGGAAACTGAGTCACAGCATGAGCCCGGTTGGCCATGGGCCCCCAGCAGTGGACCCAGACGCCTATCTGCTTCACCCCGCACCTACAGGCACTCCTGACCTTTTACGCATCCTGCTGCTGGACAAATGTTGAGGGACATGAAGGGCAGAGCCCTACCAGGGCGGCAAGCCCAGGTGAGCTCCCCGAGGTCCAAAGGAAACCAGGCTGCATGGTAAGTCCTGAGAGAGTACGTGCTGTTACCAGAGCACATCCTGCTCACCCCAGCCTGGGGAAAGGCCCGTGGGTTGTTTTTAATTTTGCTTTTTAAACGGGGCGGGTGGTGGCATTATGGGCAGAGATGCTTCTTTCTGCTTTTTCTCAGTTCTCATTTTGTGAGTGTCTGCCTGGTCCTCCTTCCTTCTCTCCTGGAGTCTTGTCTTTCCACATCTGTCTTTTTGGTCTTTATTTTTGTCTTGCTCTATGGGTCTTTGACCCTTTCCCCTCCGCAACCCCCTTCCGTGGGTCCCCCTTTGCCTGCCCCAAGTCTGTCTATCTGACCTGCAGCCTGTCCCGCTCTGCCTCTGCGTCGGCCTGGCCGGGCTCCTCCCTCCGCCGGCCTGGGTTTCTCGGTCTCTGTCTCCGCGTTTCTGTCCTGTTTCTGCCTCTCCCTCGGCCCCTCCCTGACTCCGGCCCCTCACACCTTCGCGGAAAAGTAAACATTTAATTTTTTTTGCTGTTAATAGATTTAATGTTCATTTGTTGGTAGCCCAGGGGCAGAAACGCGTGACATTTCAAATAATTGTTGTTTCAGGGGTATCCTCTGGAGGGAAATGCGGCAAAAGTGTGGAGAAGATTTAAGCAAATGACTGTGTCAGCTTCCATTTACTCCTGACAGGATCGCCGGGGGCACGGCTGCGAGATAACCATTAGCGCGGCCGCCGATAAAGCGGGGAGGCTGCATTTCTAAAGGCTCCGCGGCCATTACGGGAAAGTTAGTGTGAAACATGTTAAATTATCCCCA